ATATTTATTTTAAAATTATTTTCTCCATTTTTGGTCTCGTGTTTATGTTGTTATTTTTGTACGTCTCATCTCTCATATCGTTTGCTATATTGAAAAAGTTACATATTTTAATTTAAATTAAATTAGTTAATTATTTTAATTTATATTCATTTGTATGTATTATAATAACTTTTGTATTTACAATAATTGTTTTGGGAAATGCAAAAGAGTGGGAATAATACATATCCATTAACATTGACATATGAGTATGTCCCATCATTCAAAGTTTTAAATCATATAGGGTATGTTTGTTTGAAAGATTTTGCAAAATTTTCGCTATTTTTATAAAAAAATTTCCTCAAAATATTAAATAAAACTTTTATTTTTTATATTATACTAAAAATTAAGTTTACTAACATCATATCAACACTTATTTATATTACATCATATATAATTATTCAAGTTCAAAAATTTTACTATTCAAATTTGTTAGAAAAAACGACGTTTCAACAAAATCTTAACTCAAAATTCAAACTTCCAAATCCCGTACATTTTTTGTTTCAATAATAATAATAATACTCCCTCCGTCCCAGATACCATGTTCACGTTGCCGTTTTTGTCCGTCCCACGTATCATGTCACTTTCCATTTTTGGAAAATGATTACACACTTTAATCTCATTTTAAATTTTTAAATTTTATTTTTTAAATTTTAATTAAACTAATTAGTTATCTTAATCTTAATTTATAATTATTTATATTATAGGATAATTATTTTCACTAATACATTCTTGATTATCTACTAATTTTATCCCTCCTAAATATTGTGTCTACAGTGTAGCAAATACGATATTTGGGACAGAGGGAGTAATAATAATATTATTATTATTGATAGAATGTAAAGTCTAATAAAGCGTGAACTACTCTACAAGTTGCCCTATTTTATTTGTGTAGGTTGATTCCGCGTCTTAATTGGTTTTCAATTTTATTTTATTTTGATTGCACGATGTAGTTTCTACTCGTTTCCATCCCATATCTATATATTCATTTGTTTTTTGTACGGAATTTTAAAATATTAGTATTATATTGGGATAAAATAAAAATAAAGGAAAAAAAAATTAAATTAACCCTATTAGTATTGTATAATATAAAAGTAATGACATTTGTGTAATATATTGTAAATTGGAAGGGTATTTGTAATGTTAGATATATGGTACAATTACTAAAAAAGAAAATGGATACTTTGTTATGAGACAGACCAAAATGGAAAAATGGATAGATTGTTAAGGGACGGAGGAAGGAGTAGTATGTAAGATAATAAAGTTATTATATTATTATACTACCTCTGTCCGGCTCTAAGGTTTTATTTACTTTTTGCGTATCGATAATTGAATATTAATTATTATATTAAAATGTAGTACAAATTAAGAAAAAAATTGCAAAAATACTTCTATTAGAGGCTGTTTGGTTCATGGACTTATTTTGTGGGATTGGGATTTCACATCAGGATTTATATGTGATAGGATTTATTATATTTAGGATTTGGAATCCTATCATATGTTTGGTTGGTAAAATTATGTGGGATTTATTTTTCTCACATCTTGTTTGTTTTTTATATGAGTAGAAGGATTTGGATTTTTTATATTCTAAATGACATAATTGTCCCCCTATGAATTTTATTTATTTTGATAAATTAAACATCTAATTTATAATTAATATAAATTGAAAATGTATTAATAATTTTATAGGGATTACAATAGGTTATCGTAAACTCGAAACCCGACTCGAACCCGACCTATTTATTTGAAGTTGAGTCCAATTATTTATCTTGATCCGGGTCATATTATGGGTATTCTAATCGGGTCCGAATCGGGTCTAGGCTCTAAGCGGACCATACCTGTACCCAGATTCGATTTATAATATTAATAATATATCGACTATACATATGAAAAAATAATTTCTAACAATATAATTATATTAATTTTTTAAGTTTAATTTATTTATTATTTTATTATAATATTTTTTTTTTCATAAAATACATAAATAATATATATTGGGTATGTACATGTGTAATTTTAAATTAAAATTTAAGAATCGTAAAAAGAATTGGATTTGTTAGATCCATCGGGTTTTACCGGGTATAGTTTTGGCCGGATCTGGTATAATCAGATCCAATTTGGATCTAAAGTCTAACAATATATATATTCGGGACGGATCTTAGTTCCGGATGAATCCGACTTATTGTCATTCTGATAATTTTATAATTTAAATAAAATTTATAATAAATAACAATTTAAAACAATGAATTTATTAATTTATTTAAAAAATATTTTACCATAAAAATAATAGTATTAATTTAATTTAATATATAATTCAAATAAAAATTAATTTTAAAATTATTTAATTTAATTTTATATAAATATATTTATAATATATAATATTTTTTTTTTTTTATATAAGGATATAAAAGTAAAATTTAAAATTCCATGGAATGGGATTTAAAAGTAATAGGGGTACCCCATTACTAATAAATCCCTCATTTGTAGGATTTTTTGGACCATGTTTTTAAATCCCATCATTTTAAATTCCATTATTTTTTTTAAACCAAACATGGATTTCATGGGATTTTAAAATCCAAATCCCATGAAATCTTATTAAATCCTTGAAACAAACAACCCCTTAGTATCTTATAATAATATTATAATGATATTTGTCCAAAAAATTATATAAATCTAAAGATATTTTGAATGTTAAGTACAATAACGTAAAAGGTAAATGAGACTTTTAGAGCCCGACGTAGGAAGTATTATTCTAATTATAAATAAATATTTATAATTATTTATTTATTTATATGATATAATTCTTTTTATAAAATAATATTCATATTATATATATTTTATTAAAATATAATTTTTAAAATATTTAAATATATATTAAAAAAAATTAATTACATACTATGATATGAGATTTAGTTTTTTGGTTTACATTTTGAATTGAAATGATTATTTAATATGATATTAAAAATATGGATGCAATATTTTAAATATAAAATTAAGTTTGAATATAATATAAAAAATAAAAAAGAGATATTTAATTTGATATTTTATATGATTTTTTTTTAATAGTAAAAATCCAAGAAAAAAGACAATAAATTCTAAATTAAAATGAATATTTGATGTGATGTAAAAATATAGTTGATGTGATATTTTAAATAAAAAATAAATTTTAAATAAAAAATAAATATATAATATGATATTATGTGATAGGAAAAATAAATTACCATAGAATTAAGAATAATGAAACTAAATATTTAAAACAAAAGTAAAAACAATCAAACCAACATAATATTTTGAATGTATTTATTTAATATTTATAGTTTTAGATGTTTTTATTGCGAAGTACGATGAATTATCGAAGTATTATAGAGAATAATATTTTATGTCTTTTGTTAATTTTTTAAATATTTTTATTGACTCTTATTGTTATATGTATTATATATTATATAATTTTTTAATAATATTTTTGAAGAGATATAAATCTTTAACATACTGAACAAACATAAAAGGTTTGTTGGTCTAATATTTTTTTATCCGATATAATTTATAATATATATAATATATATTCTATGGCTTTATAAAAAAATAAATATGATATATGATATATTACAATTTTTTATATTATGATTCTCCGTAACAAAAATATTTCAAATCAAAACACTTGAAATACTATTATATTGGTGCAATTTAATGCCAACTACTTGTGAACTATAACCACAAGTCTCCCAACCATAAATACATAAAATTTTGTAATAATAATAAAAAAAAGATGATGTAATAAATAAATAAATTTTGTAATATCCTCCAACCATAAGTTAGTTAATTGTAACCATCAACCATTTAATGTAAATTTTATTACAATCATACAATCCCCAAATTTACAACTACTTTCTATGGGCAAGTAAAAAAATAAAAATAAAAGTCTAACTATAAACTAATCCTATATGTAAAAGTTATCTTAAAAAAAAAAATAAAATAAAAATCCATCCATAGTTATTTGCACTATGATTTTTTTAAAGATGAGTATATTTTATGTTTTTATGGAACAAATATTTTTAAATGTATTCTTATTATTTTGGTTACTTAATCTAAGTTTGTATATAAATAATTATACTTTTGCACTTGTTAAAATTGCATTTTTTTTTTCAAAATATTATTGCGAGTGTTGATATGATACAGTCGGAACTTACATGGATTAGCTTCGTAACAATTTTTACGATATAGATTTAATTATTTAAATAAACACATGTTTATATTATAAACACTATAAGAAAATATTATTTTTGTAATAAGGTTTTTTTTTTTTTGTGTTTTTGAATTCATTTTTTTCGTTACTAATGATATTAGAGACGGAATTACGTTAGCCATGTGAATTTTAACGACGGAATTCCGTTATTAATATACTGTTTTTTGTAGTGAAATAAATACATAAAATTAACTCCACATCAACATTTGGTATTGAAAATTACTACAAATAACACATCCCATTACCAGAGAACTTTTCTAGCTATTGAAAATTAGATATATAACTATTTCTCTACAAGCTTCAATTAAAAAATTAAAAACGATAAAAATATACTCCATTCGTCCCAAAAGTATAGCTTGTTGTGTTGGACACGAAATTTAAAAAATATTGATATTATATTGGTAATTGGTAAAAAGTAAAATTAAATTATTTTTTTGCCCTTGTGAATATATTACTGTAAACAGTAATGACAATTATATAATAATAATAATGAAAAAATAGAGATAGTTTTATGGTGATATGGTTATTTATGGAAATGAGACTTCTGTTTTGGAACGGACAAAAATGGTAAACAAGACTATTGTATTAGGACAAAGGGAGTAATACATACGAGACCAAAAGACACATTCATCCTTTCTTTTTTTTCACCATAGATTCGACGAAAGATAACACTTAATCATAATATTAATCAAACTAGCTATATCTATACTTCGATAATTTATCACCTACTACATATATGGTATGGCGACGGAGATAAAGATTCCGAAGCTACGATTCTCCTCTGGTTCTTCAAATCTTTATAAAACCGATTAATAAATTCCTCGGCGTCGTTGTCGACTTGGTGCCTCGCCATCGGGCTAGGCGTGAATTCAAACGGCGAAGCCTCGACAACATCGAACCGGTTGAGAATGTCCAAAACTTTGTTCATCAATTTCAATTCTTCTTCTTTATGGTACACATTTTTGCGCTTGAACGCATACACGGGCGTATTGCTACAACTAAACTCGTACTCTCGGGGGGAGACAAACGTCGCGCTCATATCATCGGATTTGCACGTCAGGGCGTTGTAATAACGGTGGTGTCGACGGCGTAGCGTCACGATATTGCCTAGAATGGCCTTGGTTGCTAATTTGCCTTTCCTTAGGAGCATTTGGAGATCAAAAGTTGTGTTGTTGCCCTTTGCTATGCCTTTCCTCATCATGTACAACACTATTCTCACTATGTTCCATAGCTTATTTGCCAAGAACTTGGGACTTTTTTCAAGTTCTCCCATTTTGAAATTGGCCCTTTTGATCTTTCTATAATTTCTAGAGAGAGAGAGAGATGGGAAAGAGTTAGAGAGAGGAAGTTGTATGTATATAGAGTTTACAAGTGGGGGGAATGAATGGGAAGACTATATGGTATAATATATAGTGAGAAATATGTGAAGAAGAAAGAAGATGAGACCATAAGAATATATAATAATTGAAAGCCCCACAGCTAACTCATTAATGGAAAAATTGTGTGTGTGTATAGATATACAGAGGGTGTGTTATTTAAATTTAATTTTTTATTGTGTAATTATAGCAAAATTTTAAAATATATATATTTTTACCAAATACTATGTTTTTAAATTACTATTCAAATTAAAAATTAAATCTAAAAGAATACACCAATAACCTTATAGATGATACTCTCTTTGTCTACACAAATGGATACAAAGATTAAAAAATAATAATATTATAATATTAAAGTCCGATAGATAAAAAGTAAGATGACCAATATATATATTGGGATTTTGTATATTATTCAATAAATGGACTATAGATGATACTCTCTTCGTCCAGACAAATAATGTAATTTTGAGTGGATATAAAGACAAAAAAATAATAATATTATAATATGAAAATTCGATAGATAAAAAGTAAGATGAAGATATTATAACAAATTCATTACTGAATTGATAAAAAGTGATGCGGTAAGTAAAAAAAAAAAATAGTGGCAAAATTATTATTATTTGTTAAAATATAAGAATTAGAATTATGTGTAGATAAAGAATTTTACTATAAATAAAATATGCATAAATTTAGCGAAGAATCGTAGAAGGAAGAAATACATGTACGGTGTATAATCAATTTTAGTCATTTAAGTGGATCTTCACATGTTAGTCTAAAACAAAAGATCAAAATTGTAATTTAATGTAATTTATAGGATCAAAAAGGCTAAAATCACAAAATAAAGTTAATTAAAAATATATATGGGATAAAATAAAAATAAATCTCCCCTACACTTAATAAGTATCTAAATTGAATATTAATATAGAGTCACAATTGAGTAGTTTTATATTCTGAGATTTGTTTGGTTTTGATTCCAAATCAAAATTAAAGTTACTTAGCTTTGCAGAGTTCTCAATAAAATATACTTCGTCTGTCCTAATACAATAGTCCTATTTATCATTTTTGTCCATTTTAAAATAATAGTCTTATTTTCATAAATAACTATATCGTTATAAAACTATCGTTACTTTATTATTATTATTATACAATTGTCACTAGGGGTGGGCACGGTTCAGTTATTTGTAAATATGTAGGTATTTGATAACCGAACCGAACAAATACCCGAAACCGCGAACCGTATTCGAACCGAAAATTTCGATTAACCGAAAATATTTGTAGTATTTGCAAATAACTCGAACCGAACCAAAATTAAGAAAAAATATATAAAAAAAATTAAAATTCTAATTAAATAAAAAATATATGCAAATATTTCAAATATCCGAATCGAAATCGAACCGAAACTGAACCGTATATAATTATTAATATAAATTTTAAAATATAATAATATAAATACATAAATATATTCGGTTCGGTTAACCGAACCGAAAAAAATATGAAAAACCGAAACCGAACCGAACCGAACCGAATAAATATCAAATATGCAGTATTTGTATTCGAATTGAATTTGCTCGGTTAACCGAAAATTCGGTTCGATTCAGTTCAGTTCAACGGTTCGACGATTCGGTTCGGTTTTTTTGCCCACCCCTAATTGTCACAACTTTTTACAATAATACACTAACAAGGGCAAAAAAGTCTTTTACCCGTACTTTTTACCCACTACCAGTATAATATCAATATTCCTTAAATCTCGTGCCGAACTCAACCCGGACTATAGTTACGGAACAGAGGGAGTATTATTTTTTCTCATAAAATATTATATAAATAAAAATTAAAATAAAAAACTTAAAGTCTAACCAAAACCAAACAAACCTCGAATATCTACCTTAATGAATATACATAAATTTATTGATATAATGAAATGTAATCGTCTACTCAATGTTCTTAATGATGCATTTTCTTAATTAATAAGATGTCACATGCTCTAATTTTACCCGTAATTTACGTAATAGGCTTTATATATAATGTCAAAGTCAAATTTTATATTATAGGTAAATGTTGTGTTCCTTTACGTTGTTTTCTTTTTTTATTTTTTATTTAATTTTTTAAAGATAAAAATAATATTCTTTCTGTTTCACAATAATTGACACTATTTTTATTTTTGTCGTAACTATTGACACATTTCTATTTTTGATAAAAATTATTAAACCAAAATATATTTAACAAATATAAATCAACTTAATTAACTACATAACATACAATATCATAAATATGACGTAGGACCCACTCAAAACCCCTTTATTTTTACATTTCTCCTCAAAAAAATAAATATTTTTTATCTATATTTAAAACTACACATCTTTTATAAAATTGATTTATGTTAATTATAAATAAACAAAAATATTTTTTTATTTACTCGTATTATAAAAGATTTTATTCTGTACACAATAATATCCATATTGCTTATATTTTTTTAATTGCTATATAATTTTTAAATATTTAAACATATATTTTAAATTTTTGAATCATATATATATTAAATTTACTTTAAAACTATAAATATTATTAATTACACAAAAAATAATATAATAATATCATAACTAATTATTAATAACTAATTAAACATTCTCACCTTAAATACTGTGTCCCTAGTCAAATGGTTCAATTCTAATGGGACAGAGGGAATAGTTTGATATAATATTTTATAAAAATCCGATGGTGTTATGTCTTTGGAGATAAAATAAAAAAAAATAAGAATAATAAATAAATTAATAATAATAAAAAAAAAACACAGCCTAAACCCTAAATCCAAATTAGTCAGCTCATATATAGAGAGCAATCCCTATATTCACTTGTATCTTTAATTTGTTTTATATATTTTATTTAAATAAAATTATTTATTAATTATATATATATTTTTAATGAACCACAAAAATTTAAAAATAATAATACAAATATATATAATATATACATATTAGCTTTGACGAATATGACTAATACTTACATTGTTATGCACAATTTTTCTTTTTTTAAAAAAAATTGTTTCGTTTCAATGATTGAATTGAAAATATTTTATTTTATTTTATTTTATTCAATTTAATTGTTTATTTAATTCAATGTATTAGATTTAAGGTCATATATATATATATATGTATGCTTACTTTTACAAGTTAATTAACTTACTAAAATTAAATAATAATCATGTATAGTAAAAGTGATCTTAATTGGAAGGCATTTGGAAATAAATGATGATTAGATTAATTTTTATTTTTTTTAGAGATATTTAATTACACATATATATTTTATATAAATTATTGTAATATGATAATGAATATTGGACATATAAGGCTCTATTTAGATAGAAATTTTAGAAAGTTTTGAAATTGATGTAAAGTTTTGTAAGAAAAAAGATATATTATATGATATTTTTTTAAAAAAGTTATCGTTAATTGAATAATGTCAAAAAAAAAAAAAAAACTAGACTTTGTTTATACAACACACTTTCACTCATTTGACACTATTTATTTATTTTTTAAAAAATTACATCAATTACAATTTTTCTCTCACAAAACATCAAATCAAATACTAATTTTTTACTTTTTTTTTTCTTTTTTATTATTATTATTATTTTTTTCAAAATTCCAAAAACCACGAAAAACCTCTATCTAAACAAAGCCTAAATTAATTCTAAGTTATTTTATTGAATAACAACAAATTAGAATTAAAAATATATATGAGTTGTAAATTTACATACAATATATTTAATATTTAAAAAATATTATACATCTACATCAACACCATATAAATTGTGAATCAAAATTTATATACTATAATATTCAATATATTGTATGCTTTATCATCTGCAAATCTATGTTACCTTAAAATTTGAAGTTATTTCATATTAAAGATTTGTTTGATTTATATTTCAAATTAAAATTTAAACTCAAAGACAACCAAACAAACCCTAAAATAAAGTATATTATATATAATTTAACATATTATTAAAATTTTAAACATATAAAAAAAAATTAGAAAAATAGTCGGATTTATTTTATTACTCCAATAATTTCAACTCAACGTGTCATTTTACGTTTTACAATAGATTAAAAATAATACTCGTAGTATTTTATTTGTTAACAAAAGTGTGGAAGATGATTTAATATTTATATATTACTTTTATTATTAAAAAAATTGATAATTTTGAGTATTACAGACAAAAATAATAAAAATTGTATATTAAATTGTGACAAATGGAGTATTATTTTTAAAATTTTAATTTTTTATTTAAATAGCAATTAAATGTGATATTTTATAATATATATGTATATATAAATTGTGAGAAAAATATAACATTAAAAAAATGGGATATATAAGCACCTATACCTGTCTCATAAATATTTATTTAGGTAATATGGCAAAAAAGTTTGGCAAAAATAATTAAGAGAATTAAGTATGGTTTTGGCATCGAATATACTCCCTCCGTCTCATAACAAAATATCAATTTTTTCATTTTAGTCCGTCCCATAACAAAGTATTCATTTTTTTTTTTAGTAATTGTACTATCTCCGTAAAATTACAAATACCATTACAACTTACAATATATTACACAAATGTCATTACTTTTATATCACATATACTAATAAGGTTATTTTAGTCACTTCTATTTTATTTCTACTATATCCCAATATAATACTAATATTTCTAAAACTACGTGAAAAAACAAATAGATACTTCGTTACGGGCAAATGGAGATAGAGTATATAATTTAGTAATGGTTAGGTAAGTTCGAGTGTCCAAAATAAATATATAAATTAATGTTAGTAGTATTTAATTTATTACTTATTAAATTTCATTGGTGTTTCCATTGCATTGGAGGTGGCTGTTGGATATATTCATTATT